CGAGGGCGAGGCGGGCCCGCTCGTCTGTCGGGAGGCGACGCTGGCGAAGCTGGCATTGACGGCGGGCGAGTCGCGACCGGTGTGCGAGAGACGCGGCGAGGGCGAAGGAAGCGGGAAGGCGGCCTGCTGACGTCCTGCGCTGGTGCCGAAGGAAGCGGCGATGGTGGGCGTGGCGTGCTGCTGGGGCGGCGGGGACTTGCGAGCCGCGGTGGCCTGGGCATCAGCACCTCCAGCCGCGGCGGCGGCGGCGTCGGCGTTGTTGGTGCCAAACTTGGGCCAGTTTGCATCTTTGGCAGCGGGCTGTGCATCGCCCGAGTTGTCGGAGCGCTGGACGAGGATGGGGAACTGATCGTCGCCGCCCTTGAGGTTGTACTTTTTCACAAACGCCGAGTCTTCGTTGTCGAGCTCGTCGTCAAAGAGGAAGCGCTCGTTGAATACGGGAGTGAGGTTGTCGGCGGCCTTGTCGTTGGGCTTGGCGGCCGAGTCGTCGTCGGACTTGGCTGGCCCGCCAATGGAGATGGCGGCTACGGCGGCAGCGATGTCGTCGGTCTCCCGCTGCGTCTCGCCCGACTGCCGACGCGAGGAAGGCATGGAGCGATAGAGGTGGGCGAGAGCGTTGGCGCGTGCTGCGGCTCCGGTGGTGTTGGCGCCAGCCGTGGCGGCGGTGGTAGCAGCGGCGGAGGAGGATTTGGGGTTGGCGATGGCGCTCTCGTTGGGCGGGGTGGTCGGGGCGGAAGCGACGGCGGCGGCGGCTGCGGCAGCGGTGGCCGAGTTGGGGTTGCGCTGGAGGAGGAGGTTCTGTTCCTCTTCTCGCTGCTGCTTTTCGAGGAGGGCCATCTGCTGCTCAAACACCTTGCGCTGCATGGCGCGCTGCTGTTCGTGCTCGTGGCGCTTCTGCTCGATGCGCGCCTGGATGTCTGCAGCGTCGGCGGGGGAGTCGGAGGAGGAGTGGGAGGAGGAGGTGGGAGCGGTATCGGCGTCGGGTGGGGTGGAGAGTTTGGCGGTGGCCGAGATGCTCGAGTCGTTGGCCGACATGACGGGGAGGGTGGATATAGGCTGTGCTGGAGGGGCAGGGACGCGGTGGGAATGGGCTGCGTCGGGTACTGGTGGGATTGCTGGTGTCGGACGGCTTGTTGAGAGTAGCCGAGGTGTTGTTGTTGTACGAGAAGAAGTGGCAGGGGGATGTTATGGTGTTACAAGGAATTGTACAAGGTTATGCAAGGGAACGGGAACTGCGGGGGAGAAAGCGATGGATGCGAGGTTAGCTGTGGGCGCACATTGGGCACGGGAGCAGCGGACGGTGAGAGTGGAACTCACGATGCGAAGGTGATCTTGATATCAAATGCAGGAGTCCATGCGAGCAGATCGGAGCGCTTTGGAGGTATGACTGCGGAAATGGAGGGTGGTGGTGGTACAGAACTTGATTTTTTTTTCTTCTTTGTGAATGCAAGGGTGGTGATGATGACGATGCGATTCGCTGGTAGGCGAGCTCTCTTGCTGGAGTCTGCACCTAATGGGGTGTTGGACGACCAATGCAAGACCAAGGGTGGAAGGGGAGGGGGGAAGGCGGAAGGTGAAGGTGAGAGGGAAGAGGTTGTGGAGGAAGACGGAGAGATCGAAAGCGGTAGCCAAAGGAGAGTCACCGAGGCAGCAGCGGCCACACGCAGTCGTCCGTCCCAACGCACACAAACGCACACAAACGCACACACCATCGATATTTCACCCACACCCACGTTGAGCCACTTTCAGGAGTAGGTGCCGCGCTGCCCTCCAAGCTCGCCCCAACTCGCCACGCTTGTGCTCTCTGAAAGTCACACCATTTGCTTTGCCCCCCACACACACACACTCACAAACTCACAACAATGGCAACAGTCACATCAAAGACATCGAGGATTGGTGCGGTTGGTGGTGGTGCTGCGGTGGTGGAAGACAATAGCGTCGATTTTCAGCCGCCCCACCAGAGCAACACTTTCTCGCCAACCAAAAAAACAAAAACCCGCCTGGCCGAAATTCAAATCGGCCGTGGGCGTGCCTTTTTCCGTCTTTCTTTCTTTCTCGGTCGGTAAATTTACGGTTCAACGACTCGCCGCTTCCCGCCACGTTTCGGAGCCAGCTTGCTTCAGGGCAGAGATGATCGGATCAAATGCGCGAGAAGAAATTCCGGAGCCACACGCAGCTCCCGATATTGAATTGGATCGGCCAGGATCAATCCCCGATACCCCACTGCTCAATTTGGTTCAACCGCAGACTGGCACTCGGCAGGAATGTAACACAGTGAACAAGACAACCCGGGATCGCATTACACTACAAAGGTGGAACCTACTTGTCGTCAAACTCCTTGTATCGCGTCGGGTAGCCGAGGAGCCAGCCTCCGATGATGCGGCCAAAGAGCAGGTTGATGGATCGACCGAGCGGCCAGAGCAGGCCGAACGCCCTCCAGAGCCCGGCGAAGGGCACGGGGGGTACGAGGATGACGTCTGCATCGTCCAAGAAGCGGAGCATCTGGAACGGGTTGGGTGGCTTGCCGGCCATGGTCCTTGCGCTGAGGTATCCGTAGAAGTTGTGCACAAAGTCCTCGTCGAAGCCCGGGTTGGGGCCGCCGCGCACGGTGATGTGTACATGCAGATCCTTGCCGCTCTCGGGATCGGACCAGAAGGTGTGTGGCCTGTAGGGGGGGATGTTGACCTTTTGGCCCGCCTGAAGCTTGCCGTGCTTGCCGTCGATGAGGTAGCAGAGCGTGCCGTCTTTGACGTCGAAGGTTTCGGTCTGGAAGAGGTGGATGTGGTAGGGCGGCGTGGCTGTGCTCGAACGACCTACGCCCGAGTGCGGATCGTTGGCACGAAAGATCTGGCCCGAGGTGAACGACTCGGCGTCCTCGCGCACAAAGTAGGTCTGCAACGCGCCGTCGAAAAAGTGCCACTTGCCATCCACAACCTTGGGGCGTACGATCGACATGTTGACGGGAATCCCAAGATGGAAATGGTCGGGGGAGAAAGGGTCCTTGCAACTCCTCGCTTTAAAACCAACCTCACACGCCCGAGCTTCCAGATTGGCCCGTGCTGCTTCCGCGGCGCTTGGTTGCGGCGAGTTTTCAACAGGAAGAAAGGCGCGGCAGTTGAGCGCGCGATAAAAAGGCCAACAAGAATCGATCCGAGGTGGTCCCACCGCGGACAGGATCCGGTCCGCTCTTGATCACCACTCCATGCGCACATCCACCGCCGCTAAGCTGCGATCCACGTGCATTGCATCCGCATCGACGCTTCCCCACACTTTGCGCTCGTCTCGTGACCCAATCAGCGCTAGCCGTCCGCGGCCACCGACCCGTCACCGTACCAGCCAGCCAGCCAGCCGATTAGCTTGGGGTCGTGAGCGCCAAAGGTACGCTTGCTGATTGGCTCTTCGCGCCTGTTCCCCCGCATTTTTTGAGCCGCTTCCAATTCTCGAAATGCAAGAAAATCAAGAAAATCGGCTGCGACCCATGAAGATGAACACAGAGAGAGTGAAGGCCCATCAACCGCCGCACTCTAATAGTGGCCGATAAGCCCTTCTGCCCAGGAAGCTCCGCTCGACGCTCGACGCTCGACGCTCGACACCGCGGGGCGTTCGGACGTCGTCCTATCACACAGCTCTCGCTTCCACTCCCAAGGGTCCTCTCCGCGCCGCGCCTGGTCCAGGAATCCCATCCCCGCGCGTCGAGTCCCTCTTTGCGTGGATTGCATTGCATGTATATAGCCGCGGGGGGGGGGGGG